GGCCGTCTGCCCGCCGCTGCCCGCTTCGGGCGCGGCGCTGGGGGAACGAGAACGGGGAGTGACCCGGCCCCAAACACCCTGCTCAGGTGGCCCACGGAGCTGCCCGCGACACCTCTGCTCAGCCCGACCCCCTTCGCTCCGGCCACTCCTTCCTGCAGGGGGCGCATCCTGCCCTTTCCCGAGAGGACCCAGGCTCCTTGGCTGTCTGGGAGCTCCAGGTGAAAGGGTAATGAGCCGCCCACAAGCCCTCCCGCCTCAGTTTCCCTCTCGCGGGGTCCCTGAACGAGCCACTTGGAGGGGTGAAGTCTGCGGGGAAAGAGGACCGTTCCCGCCACAGGAGCGCATGAGTCGCACTGAGTGGGGAAGGTCGGAAGGTGGCAGGGTGAGGGAGCTCCGCTCTGCTGACCAGCTCTCCCCTTTGCCCCCCTTTAAGTGACCATCGCCCCCTTTGCTCTGTCTGCCTAGGTCTGACAGTCGTTGGAGCAGCCACAGCCACCATGGGGCCCTGGGGAGAGCCAGAGCTCCTGGTGTGGCGTCCGGAGGCGGTGGCCTCGCAGCCCCCAGGGCCCGTGGGGCTGGAGGTGAAAATGGGGGCCCTAGTGTTGCTGCTGGTGCTCACGCTTCTCTGCAGCCTGGTGCCCATCTGCGTGCTGCGCCGTCCGGGGGCTGGCCCCGAAGCCTCAGGTGAGGCCGCCTCCCTGCCGCCTCCCAGGCTGAGGGTAGGGGAAGGCCCTGGGGCTGAGGAGGGTGACCTAAAGGGGGAAAGTGGCAGTGACTATTGCTTGGGTTGGGGCAGGGGGGCTTGAGGGGGTTCGTCGCTCAGTCCTGTCTGTGCTCCACTCCTGCCCAGCCTCCCGCCAAAAAGCCTTGAGCCTCGTAAGCTGCTTCGCAGGAGGCGTCTTTCTGGCCACCTGTCTCCTGGACCTCCTGCCTGACTACCTGGCGGCCATAGATGAGGCCCTGGCGGCCCTGCACGTGACGGTGAGCCCTTGGTGGCTGCATGTGACCTTTCGTGTGTGGGTGTGTTCAATCACATACCTGGAGGAGAGGTGGCTTGTGTGGCTGTCTTCCTGGGGTGCCCCACGACCGTGTGGAAGGCGTTTAGCACGTGGCCATAAGAACTGAGGTTTTCAGTTATGGGGCATAAATTTTCTGTGGTGCACGCCACCCCATCCCCGTGTGACTGTTTTGCACCCTTTGACAGTGAGACGAACCTTCTTACTAGGCATGTGATCTGCTCTGTGAGTTCCTGGGTCCCACCTTCCAAGAATGACCCTCACTCTCACACCCCTTTCCTGAAGGCTGTGATAGAGGGCCTGGGAAGGGAAGGAGGCCTGGAGTTCCCGACCAGAAAGGCCATAGTTCAAAGAAGTAGGACGTGAGGAAGGTCCAGTGCGAGGTGTAGGGAAGTCTCGCAGGAAAAAGAGTTGTGTGGAGGTGCCAGGAAGGCCCCCTGGGCTCTTCCTCTTCCTACAACTGAGGACTGAGGAAGTAACACTGATGTACCTGCTGTGACTGAGTGGCGTGTGGCCCTGTGTGACTATGTGTAAGTTTCAATGGCCCCATGATAGTGTGTGGCTCTGTGTGTGAGCACACGGTGAGGTGGGCGACACCTGATCCCTGTGTGCGTGCACGCGCCTCCGTGTCACCAGGCCGTCCGCATCCATGACTCTCAGTTGGGGGTGGTTTTGCGCCCCCTCCGCAGGAAACATTTGGCAGTGTCTGGAGACACTACCATTGGGTTGTCAGCTCTGGAAAGGAGGGCTTTGTGCTTGTTCTTGGCATTTAATGGGTACCGGCTCGGGTACAGGACAGCCCCCCAAAATAAGGTTCATCCAACCCGAGATTTCAATAGTGCTGAAGCTGAGCCACACGTAGTGCTGTGAGGGACGCCATAATCCGTGTGATTGTGTATCACTCTGTGTCTGTGTCACCAAATGACTATCTTTGTGTAAATGTGTCTGTGAGGGGCCCTGGGTCTGTAACTGGGACCCCTCTACACCCTGACCGTGAACCCTCTGCCCCATCCCGGCCTGTGCCCTGAGCTCCCTGCCACCCTCTCCCCACAGCTCCAGTTCCCCCTACAAGAGTTCATCCTGGCGATGGGCTTCTTCCTGGTCCTGGTGATGGAGCAGATCACACTGGCTTACAAGGAGCAGTCAGGGCCGCCGCCTCGAGAGGAGACGAGGGCCCTGCTGGGAACAAATGGTGGGCCGCAGCACTGGCACGACGGGCCAGGGCTCCCACAAGCGGGTGGAGCCCCAGCGGCCCCCTCGGCCCTGCGTGCCTGTGTCCTGGTCTTTTCCCTGGCCCTGCACTCCGTGTTCGAGGGGCTGGCGGTGGGGCTGCAGCGAGACCGGGCGCGGGCCATGGAGCTGTGCCTGGCTCTGCTGCTCCACAAGGGCGTCCTGGCCGTGAGCTTGTCCCTGCGGCTGCTGCAGAGCCGTTTGCGGGCGCAGGTGGTAGCTGGCTGTGGGATCCTCTTTGCATGCATGACACCTCTGGGCATTGGGCTGGGTGCAGCCCTGGCAGAGTCGGCTGGGCCACTGCACCAGCTGGCCCAGTCTGTGCTGGAGGGCATGGCAGCTGGCACCTTTCTCTATATCACCTTCCTGGAAATTCTGCCCCAGGAGCTGGCCACTTCTGAACAGAGGATCCTCAAGGTCATTCTGCTCCTCGCAGGCTTTGCCCTGCTAACTGGCCTGCTCTTCATCCAAGTCTAGGGGGCTCCAGGTGCCCTAGACCTTCCTTTCCTCTCCCAGAGTATGAGAATAAGGAGTGGGGAAGGGAGGTACTGAGGATCAAGGGGTTCTCAGAGATAGGGATGGAGTCTTTGGAACTATCTGACCCATGAGAGGGATGTGGTAGACAAGAGCCTGGCCCTAAGGGACAAGATATAGTTAAGTCACTAAAGACATGATTGAAGGACGTTCATATTGGGGAAGACACTGAATGCTAGAATCTGGGGTCAGACACTACATACAGGGACAAGCTGACACTGGGAAGGCTGGAGGCAGGTGCCCAGCTGCTGTGGGGTAGAGGTGTAGAGAAGGCACAGCCCAGGGTCGGCTGTCCTGCTGGTTCTAGCCCATTTCAGCCCTCTGTCACTTGGGGGTGGAGTGGATCCCTACTTTTCTTAGCTCCTACTCTCCTCTTAGTCTCCTGCTTCCCTTCTCCCAGGGGACTGGTGCCAAATGGCCTCTTCCTGCCAGTTTTGGTACCTTCTCTGGCTTCTCTAGTCCTGCTCACTTCTCTATTTTTAAAGTGCCAAATAAATCTCTTCCCTCTTTCTCAAAAAGCACAGTGATGGCACTGAACCGTGCCTAACACTTCAGCGGAGGGGCCCTGCTTGCCCTTTATTTGGGGGCAGAAATGTTTGCTGAGTTAGGGCTGGGAGAGGGTTGCCAGAGCCACGGCCGCCACCACCACCACTACACCCTAGGAATATTGAACACGGACATGGTACCCCATGCCCAGATGATAAAAACTGAACTGCCAAAACTTTCTTTTTTTTTTTT